TAATTATATGTGTCCATTTACCGAACATGGTTATGTTCACCGTAATTATATGTATCTAAAATATATCTATTAGTCTTATTACAATACCGAATAGTCCTTAATTTTAACAAAATGTGTGTTTTTATATTACTTATGATTGTATTTCACTTAATTGTGTGTCTCTATAGGATAGGCTATAGTAACAAAATTTGATTATTTTTTGCGACTAGTTATTAGCAATTCACCACTTATGGAATTAATTATATGTGACCATTTAGCAAACATGATCATGCTTACCGTAATTACATATTTACAAAAGATACACAATAGTCTTAACAAAATTTAAACTGTGTGGCAATATAAAAGAAAACAACTACACTAAAACATCATGAATGTTGCAAGTTGGTGATATATAGTCACCACAGTTACTAAATAAATGTGTCTATTAACGTTTTAACGCTACAATATTGGATATTTAAGGAAAAAATTTCCGTACACATTTACCACACTTTTATAATACGACCACATGTTTTCATCTTATACGGACACTACATTTTAAAGTGACCATAAGACTCATACGATGGCGTCACCTTCCGTCATACTTTCAGTGAAAAAAATAAAATATCACTATATGTATATGGTCACACTTTTTTGGTGTCAAGCTATAGAGGAGTTCTATCTTGTGCTCTTGTCATAACTCCATTAAATTTCAACCTTCCAAAATGATCAAAGTCTTCAAAGGTTGTTACTTTCTTCCTTTCTAAGATTGTTTTAATCTTCCATGTTCATGCAAAATGATCCGGTGGGATAAAATAGTTTTATATTTAATAAATATTTTAAAGCTTTAGTTGCCATTTTAATGTTTTTAGAAGCCAAATTTTATATAAAATAAAATAGAAATGGCTCTGACCATGAGCTTACAAGACGAGGGGGTGAGGTTTCATGAAAGTCATTGGGAACTGATAATCATGAAAGTGGTTGTGACCTCATGTCAAGAAAGTGGTTGTGACAAAATGTCACGAAAGTTGTTGTGACCAGATATCACAAAGGTGGTTATGATTAGTTATCACAAAAGTGGTTGTGAGCAGTTATCATGAAAGTGGTCATGCGACTGTAGTTGTATGATTACTCTTTACAATAATATATGTGGTATATTAGGGAACTCATTAAGGTTTGTGCTTATATTTTTAAGTTCAATATTTTTAGGTAGTTTTATTAACAAAAGAAATGGCATGACTTAACCATACATGTATTTGGAGTTGTTATGATTTTGACTTACATCAAATCTTATATATGATTTTGACTTGATTATAATATTGGAAATGATTTGGTACTATTTATCTTTCTATGAAAAATTATTTTAGATTGTTTGCTTATATTAATAAGGAAAAAAATTTGTTGAAAATTTAGGATGTTACAATCTTAACAAATAATAATATCATGGTTGTTGAATACCCTTTTTAAATAAGATTCTCCAAGCCTTCCATAGTGACAAATAAAGAATATTAACCGAAGGCATCAAGTTTGTAAAAAACGTTTGACGTTAGCTAGTCTATAGACCAGAATTAATGAATTAATTGGCTAGGCAGTGATTAATCAGGAGATTAAGTGAGGATCATAAATTGCTAATTTGTTGAATTTTAAAAATTTAAAACTATTCATAAATACCACTATGATTATAACAAAATAGGTTAATATAATTAATACAACACTAATCATTCCTCATATAGTTTCTATTGACATAAAACTTGTTCAAAATGATCAAATTTCATTGTTTGCTACTTCTTCGCACATTTTATAGGCGAGGATTAATCGTTCGATGTCTTCTAATAAGCCAGGTAGCGCCTAGGGAACTAAATTCCTGGAGATTAATCAAGACCTAGTCAAATTTTTACAAGACTAGGCGTTACCATGTATAGCTTTTGGAAGGCACCAACGAAACCAACTATATTGATTATTGCATCATAACAATGAGTAATATGGATTTAATGTATATATCCTAACTTTCGTTTAAACTTTTGCAATGTATTAGTCAGAGGTACCTTTGTTTTGTTTTCATGCTTGGTATGTGATGTCTCTAAATAGACACCATTACATTCACAACCTCATAGGTAGCCTATTGTTTTCATTTGTTTAGGTAAGCATAAGGGCTATATTTTCATTCATGGCAATGTGTATAAACCTACAAGGTACCAACTATGTAAGGAAATCTATGGAAAGAATATATAAATTTGGTTCTAGCATTTCATTAACCAGTTGGTGTACATCATAAAACTTGTCAAGTCTTAACAACATATCATTATCTTTTTTTGCTGACTTGTATAACATTTATTTTTTTTCTAGTTAATATTTATAAAATTCATCAACATATTTGGTGCTTACAAAAGGACATAGTAGTAGGCATCAAATGTTGTAAAATTATGAGAAATATGGATAGATATCATTAGGTGGAAGTAGTCCAAGTTTTCTACGAAATGCCATAATCCCTGATCCTATTTTCCAAAGCACCATTTTATATCATTACAAATATATGAAATGATAAATCTTGAAATATAATAAAAAGTAACGATAAAAATAATAAAGTTGTAATAATAAATTAATAATAATAAGAGGAAAACTATATTTCTTCAAAAAAAAAATTTATTACTTAGTCGAGAAGGTGAAGTGAAGAAGGCATTAAGGAAAATAGGGGGCACAAAGTTGTTGGTTTAGACCCGATGCTTATTGTTGTATGGTTGTGCGTAAAGGGTGGAGTGCATTGGTTGACGATTTTGTTTAACATTATTTTAGAGTCAAGAAAGTTATGAAAGGAGTGTAGATATATTATTGGTATACCGATTTTTAGAACAAAGGCGATGCACAAAGCAACTATAGAGGAATTAAACTGCTTAGTCATATCATGAAGCTTTACGAGAAGGTTCCAGAGGTGAGGTTAATGCATGAAATTGTGGTATCAAAAAATTTGTTTCAGTGTATGCATTTAGAGGTCTACCACTAAGGAGATCCACGTGCTAATATGTCTTATGGAGAGATATTATGAAAGACATGTGGATCTATACAAGGTACTGAATTAGAGAGCACATGTGAAAATGTCCCAATGGTAGATAATATGGAAGACCTTAGAAGCTTGAGGAATATTGAGGAGGTATGTTCAAACTATTCTTGATATGTATTGTCGGTCTACTACACTGTTGGTCAACTACTTACGTTTGTATTACAATTGGTGACACTAAGGCTTTCATAGTAAAAATTTGACTTCATCAGGGATCGAATCTTAGTTCATACATTTTTTATTTGTTTTCGGATGAGATTTATTGAAAAACATAAGAAGTGGTTCCATGGTGTATACTTTTATCTGATGACATAGTTCTTGTAGTCTAGTTTAGAAAAAAATTGACTTCTAGGTTGGATACTTGGAAGACATCATTGGAAAAAAGGGTTTCGTATCAATATTTAGAAGACAAAATATGTATGGTACAATTTCAGTAGGGAGAAAACAGTAAAGGAATAGAAGTGTGCGTTGATGACCGTATTCCTAAAGGAGATTTTCAAGTACTTGGGGTCTATGATACATAAGGAAGGGGGTCTTAAGGATAACATCACATATCGTAGATATGCCGGATGGTTAAAATGGAGGTAAACAATAGGAGTTTTGTGTGATAAGAAGATTCCATTGAAATTAAAAGGAAATTCTTATAGCGTGGCAATTCTACCAACTTTGATGTGTGTATCTGAATGTTGACCTATTAATAAAGAACATGAAAGGAGGTGGATGTCGTAAATGAGAATGTTGTGGTGAACTTGCGGTAGCAGATTGTTGGATAGGATATCGAACACGACAATTAGGAATTCGTTGGGGTGGCATCGATTATTAAAAATTTGAGAGAATGAAGATTACGGAGGTCTGCACATGAACATAAGAGACAACCGACTACTGCTATTAAGAGATTGGATATGATTATAGTTAACGGTGCAAGGAGGACATGTCAGCTAAAAAGGAAATGGGAAGTTAACGTACAATTAGATTTGAAAGAGTTGACACTTAGTGAAGACATGACCTCATATACAAGAGTATGAAGGCTTTAAATCAAGGTAACATAGGAGTTTTAGCATAGTATGAGGTCTAGATCCCTCTCCCGTTTATGCTTGCCGGACTGTGTTTTCCAACTATCTTGGTTTCTTATTCACTTTCAACATGTGTAGCATCTATTTGTTAAAGATTTATTGTGCTTTTTCTTTATGTCTCAAATACACTATTTTTCCTCATCTCAGACAATTTGTAAGCATGAAGATCTTTAAGCAGGAACACTTAGCTACGGTGGACATGAATACATGATTACAAAGTTTTTATTATTATTTTATATATTTATTTATTTATTGTTTCTACAGAAGGTCTTTCTACCGAAGCAGTTTTCCAACCTTATGATTAAGGCAGCCGACGATTATATTTCCCTTATTTCATTTGTATGAGACTAAGGTGTTGTTTGTTTTTTCTAAAAAACATCTTCTAACAACTTATTGTTGCGCCGTACACCACACGTGCAACACTTGACCATTCACAGCTGTTTGTTTTTCAAAAGACTTCTGACTTAAAAACTGTTGCGCGTGTACTACATGACGCATCACTTGATCCTCTGCTTCAAACATCTTCACGTCTTACTTTAACTTATTGCAGCAGTCTGCAAAGGTTAAAAAACAAACAAACTTTTTATTACATGATTCAACCGTTTGATCCATCTCTTTTGCTACAGAGGATTGCAGAGGCGATCTGCAGACTTCATATATTTTCGCTTCGAAAAAATAAGCGACACCTAACTTAATGTTGTTTCAAAGGAACTTTTATTTATTAAAAACGTGAATAATTTTAATTTTGCTCGTTAATGATCGGTAAGTTAAGATACATTTCCGATGGTTTGTATTTTTGTGACATTTTATAAGTAATGTCGCAAAACTAGGGTTTTTATTTTGTTTCGGATTATTTTTCTTCATTTTTGTAGTGAAAAAAAAGGAGTTTTGCAGTGGTGCAAGTTATTTAGTAATATGATAATATCACATTCTCTTTTTATAAATATGAGGTTACATGTTTTTACAAATTTTATGACGATCCTCTACTATTGTCCTTAATTCCGAAGTATTTACTAATTGAGTTTTGAATCTGTATATTTCTACTGGGGTCATGAGTTCAGGGTCTGAAACTTGCTCGAAAATCTCTCAAGCTGTGACCACAACAACGTTCCCAGTGATGATCTTGCTTCATTCACACCGTTACTACTCGATGATCCTCGAGACGACCAATTCGAAGAAGTTCCATTCCCTACGATAACCATGCCTCCAAACCTCTTAATTTCCTTCTTCACTGCCTCCACCATACCCGGATCCACCTCATGTCCATGAGCATCTGTGACATGAAACGATCCAATTGCCTTCTCTCCACGTGTTCCAATCTCAGCCATTGCAATCGACAGCCCGTTTTCACGAAACACTCTTGTCACATCCGACAACAGCCCTGACCTGTTTCGACTCCTCACATCTAACCTCAACCCCTGCACTCATATAATAGAGCTCATGTTAGTTCTCTTTCATCAAAAACGTAATCAGAAGCTCAAAACTAAACACCTACATGCGATGCCCTTCGTTCTACAGCTGCCATTATGCATCGGGTGATTGCTTCTCGTTGTATCTCTGAGTTTAACGTGCGCCCATCTTTCTCCCTTATGTAATACTCCTGTCGTAGTTTCAATACGAAGAACATTATAAAAGGGTTTAATCAATAGACAGCTATAAGGCGTTGGAACTTGAAAAACGTAAATAATATAATACCTGAAAAGCAACGGAGCCTTTAGAGCTAACTGTTGCATGAAAAACCACATATTGCATGTCAGTAAGCGTGCAAACTGTGTCGAATAGTAACTTTGGTCTGTCAGGGCTTGTGACATTAAGAACTGAATACCCTTTTTCTCTACAGTTCTCCACTGTCACAACTGTATCGAAGCGTTTGATAAGTGGACCATATGTACTCTCTTCGTAGTCTTTATCGGCCATCATCAGCTGGTGGAGACGCCTCTCGGTGTGGGTTTGACCGGTGACCGGAGTAGTTAACCTGACACTTCGGCGTTCGCTGTTATTGTGGTGAGCGTTGACTACGGTGGAGAGATGGGCTTGAACTCTGTTGACCCTGTGAGGATCCATAATGGGTCCAGGGTTTGAGTCGTCTTCTACGTGGATGATGCATGCAGCACGTGTGTTGTGGGTCCATGCAACTGCTGCAGACACGTGGCATCTTAGTTCGGCTAGAACTGCTGATATCTCCGACAATAGGCCCGGCTTGTCCACCGTTGTCATCTCGAGTGTCGTATGCTCCATCGGAAAGTTCCTTTGTGTAATTTCTTTACCTAAACTTGTTGTTTTTACTTGTGTCTTCTCTCTCCTACTTGCACATAGTGACTACAGAAAATTAATAAATGTCACTTTCATACTAACTATCATGAAAAAGAAAAGGTTTATAACACATGCATGTGAAAGAAGATCCTTGTCATTCAAAGGCGGACTAATTAAGGGATCTTTTAGTATGGGATAAAAAAAAACTCCTAAGAGTATTTGTCATTGTTGCTATCTATTTATATAATAAATTGAATAAACTTGAGTCGTTTGTCTACGTTTTAATTGACTAAATAATTAGAAACATATATATTTCTTTTGAGACAAGTTATGCTAGCTATTTCTAAGATGAATTGAGTAAATTTGTTACATTTATATATGTTTTTGTGGATAAAATTAGAAATTTATATGTTTGACTTATTTCTGTTGAGACATTAATAGTTACAAAAGAAAATGAAAAAATATATGTTTTATAACTAGTGTTGTTCTTTGTCTTAGATTGTTATTTCCTGTGGTAATGTTTTTGACTTTTCTAACATCTTGCAACCTTTTTAGAAAATTTATGTCGTTCCAAAAAAATGATTATTTTGCTCTTGGGGTGGCATTTGTTGTGGTCCACACAATCGACCAATAGGGAGCATGTATAGAGAAGTAATAATTTATATAAAAATAATACATTTAAGGTGTATCTAATCGCGTGAACTAAGAAATACCTGTTGTATATGGCGTGTAAGGCTTTTGTCTGTAATCTTATTGCCAGATTGATCGGTCACGTGGAACACTATACAGAAAAATACAAGTTCATTTTTCATATGAACATAGAGTATCCACATGTTGGTTTAATGAGAAAGATGAATTAATGAGTTCAAATGTCTAATTACATTCAGATGATTTACAATTATTTAATTAATGTCATGTTGGCAATCATATGAAACTCTTTCATTAGAAAATGAAACATTTGATTAGTAAAAAATATATTTTTATTAAAATTTGTAGAATTTAATATATTACATAAGAAATTTGATAAAGTTGTATAAAGACTGAAATAATGATGTTAGAGCATCCGCAATGATGAGTTCAATGTGAAAATTGAATGAGGTGACAAATCTATTTGTCATTCAATTGATGAAACTCAATTATTGTAAGATACCATATTAACATTAAACGAATTTGGAGTTCAATTACTATTGACATCTTCAATGGAAAAAATGAAAGTTTTAATTCTTAAATATTTACTATAAATTACATTTTGTAACATTCTATTGAGCTTTATAAAGTTCAATGCATTATAGAAAAAAATTATAAAATTGTATGGATTATAGAATGATGATTTGATAATCTATTGAACTCTATGGAGTTCAATGCATTATAAATGCTTTTAAAATCAATTAAAATCTAATGAATTCTATACAATATCCCCCAAAGAACTCATATTTAAAAGAAAGCCCTATAAGGATACTACAAAGGGTGCAAGTAAACGGGAGACTAACCATCCATTAACCAACGACCATCAGAACAAATGTACGATTTGGAGATGATAAGGTCAAGATCCGTTAACTCTTGCACCATCTCCAACAATACGCCATGCTTGTTCGCACTATCGACCTAGATCATTCAAACAAACCAATAATAAAAATTCATATGCACACAATCTCTTATTTTATCATTTACACAATTGCACTTCAATTATGATTAGATTATATCATTGTCAAACAATATCTAAAGTATTTAAATGATACAATACGTGTATTAGTTGTCAATTTTATAAAATGAAAGATGATATAAAAAGCAAAAGTATTTTTTCAATAAAGAAATGACAATAAAACAAAGCTCTTTAAAAAACCATTGGGTATGTGATCATTGTCGACTTTTGTAGCTTGAGTGGCCTCTTTCCCACTTAGATGGGTGTGTTCTTGTTCTGGTATTGGACTGATCTTTCTCTCTCTCCCTCTATATAAGTTGATGTATAATTTTATATTTACAGCCCAATCCGAAGTTACCACCGAATTTCATATATGATTACTTAATAAATCAATAAAGTTAAGGAAATTACTTGTTAACCTTCCTATGTCATTTTCGTATCATAGCTGGAATCTAAACCCTATAAACTTTTTAAAGAATTTCGAAAAGTTTTAAGTCTTTAAACTAATTTACTTTTCTAAAGACCCAACTTTTGTAGTCATCCTCTTGATTCAACTTACATACGTTAATTCATCAAACGATCGATTAGACTCGATGATTAGTTAAGAAGCTTGTATCTAGTTGAAACAAGATTATCTATTGCCGATTCTTGATACATTTGAATTATGAATCTAACATTTTATGTGTGCATGCATTTGTAACTATATAAAATATCACAAGAGATCTTTACCAAAATAAGAATCAAGAAAACTAATAAGTATAATAACATATATAGGTGCATGAGGACATGAGTTACCTTCACAAGGGTGCAATCTTGACACGAATCATTGTCGATGCAAACCCTAGCGACAACCACCGATTTATTTGAGATTTTTATTTAGAAATGAAAAAGTGCAAACCAAAACAAGTATAAAATAAAATTGAAACCTTGGAGGATGGATTCTGTCAACGAGGGATTCGAGCTCAGGGTCAACGTAAACTCCGTATCCCATGTCCATATCTTGGTAAACAGATTTGCTCTCGAGATTTTTACTTATATGATTCACTTCAACAACAAAAACACACTCACAAAAAACAAAAATTGTCGAGGTTATATATACAAATCCATGTTTCGTTTCAACTCTTTACATACGGTGTTCTGTATGAACTCTCAAGTCTCATCTCAAATGGTTTCTTGAACTCCAAGAAAACCCTTTTACACAGAATTAGATCGAGGGGTCGAATTCAAATACTGTATATATAGCTTACCAAAAGTTTCGACTTTCAAATAACTTTTTCTGATTTCTTTTAGAATCAACGAGAGAAATTTTATTGCAAAAAATGGAGATGAAGTACCTGTGTGGAGGATTCTTGGAGTTCACATGGCGCGTATGAAGTTCAAGTGTTTGAAAACTAAGGGATTGTGGGAATCCCACCAACTATATAATCTGTATGCACCCAAGAAGGGTCCATAGCTTGCTTCATTTAAGGTGCTTGTGTGTTGTGCTTATCTGGAATCTAGATAAAGGTTAAGTTATAAGATTTATTTAAAATTGTGAGATACATTTTATATTTGTATATTCTGAACAGCATATTATAATTCCATAAGCAAATGGTTATCTATCACATATATTCTAAATAAATCAATACTTATTTATCTATATCTTAAAATATGTAATTTAGTCATATTCTAGTTTCGTTACACCGAATCTAATAAATACTATCGGTTTTCTTTTATCATTACTTTTTTTTTTTATCAGAATCGTTGGAAATTTCTTCTTTTTAAATAACGTGATGTCATTTATTTTAAGCAGAGTTGAATCTTTTCTTTATTCATGTTGAGTGGTGATCATACGTGTGTCTTTTTACTGGTATGACGTGGTTATATGTGTCTTCATACAACATTGGCGGCGCCTTTTCCAGCTGCTAACACGTGTGTTCGTTTGAATGAGATTTTGGGCAGCAATCTGGGCTTTTCTTTGTATTTCCTTGAAGTTCAATGGGGCATATAAAAAAATTTTCCTGCTCAAGTTCCGATTGTTGTAGTGTCTTTAACTTTGAATAACCTAAAACGTAACAAGTAAATTTTTTGCAATAGTTTCAGGATACATAAACCTTTACTTTTATTTTTTATTTATTTATTTAATTATTTATTTTTTGTGTATCAAGGATATATAATTTCACCGAGCTCCAAAGACCAACCACCAAGCTTTTGACATCTACATCAACCAGGATCCTTGCGTCAATAAAAACATTAAGGAGATTGAGGAATACAATAAATCGTGTGGCTCCAAATGGAGGCAGAAGGCACATAAACCGTGAATCCCCATAACCCAACTTATAGCATCCACCATGCATAGTGAATTAATAAGTTTTCGTCTTTGCATAGTTACTGAATTATTTATTTTTTTGAGTATTTATGTACCCTTAAAATAATTTTTGATCTATTAAGTCAGATAATGACCATCTTTATTGAGAGTATCTATGATGCATAATGCATAATAAGAAAGTTGAATGAGCTAACATATCGAGTTTCAATGGATTAAACTTTATTATTATGCCGATTTCATGTTGACGTTCAATAAATATAATGTTCAATGGTCATTAAATTCTTCAATAGAAAAAAAAAAATATTTCCATTATTAAAAATATATTTCATTAAATTCTATAGAGTTCATTACATTATAGAAAAATTAATATAGAGTTGTATAAAATGTAAAATGAACGTGTCAATCTATTAAACTTTAATAAGCTCAATGCGTTACGGATAGACCTGACAAACCGCAAACGTGTTGTGTCGTGTTATGTCAGGTTCATGTCATATCAAGACATTAAATGGGATGAGAGAGCTTGACCATAATCTGACCCGCTTAATTATTGTGTCGTGTCGTGTCAACCTCTTTATTTTTGTGTTGGTTTCGGGTTAAGATTTAGACATTGTAAATATGCTGCGTCATGTAGTGTTGAAACATTTTAAAAGTTGGAAAGTAGGAAACGAGGAGACAAAAAGGAAAAAATGAGACACAGAAGTTAGAAGTGTTGAATCTATATGCCCAAGAACTATTATTGAGTAATATTGCTAATGATAGGGTCACACCTTTATCAAGTTGACACATTTTGTATATTTATTATTAATATGATTATTAATAAATAATATCAATTATTCTATTTAAATTATGGAATAATTATTGCTTTGTAAAAATAATATTTAAAAGAGAGTATAACTAGTTGTTATCTCATATGATATGATTTAATAAGTCATGTACAAAGTTTTGGATACTTTGGTTTGTCATGGTCTTACTAGTTTTTTTTTTTTTTTTTTTTTTTTTTTTTTTTTTTTTTTTTTGTCTTTTAATAAAAGAAGCTAGCTTACATTAAAAGAAATTAGAGTATTACCGGCGACAAATGTCACCACTAAAGGTCGAAAATGTTGTTGTTAAAGGTATTAGCGATGACTTGTAGCCGTTAAAGGGTCGTTGTTGTTGGTTTGTCGTTAATGCTCCACTGGCCGCCGCTATTGTCTTTAGTCGTCGCTAAAGGTTTGTCGCCGCTAATTTTATCTATCGTCACTAAAGATGTTGTTGCTATTTATGTGTATTTTTATACATGCAAATACACATACATACATAATACACATACAAAATACACATATACATAGAAAAACACATACACATACAAAATTCATATACAAAATACACATATACATACAAATGAACACAAAAACACATATACACACATTTAATAGACTCAAGATACACATATACATACAAATGCAAATACAAATACATATCCACATCTACAAACACAAAATAGACATACAAAATAAACATCTAAAAATCAAAATTATCAAAATTTTGTCATGGACAGTGGTAGTGGCAGTATACTCCGGCGGGAATGGTGGGGGATCTCAAAATTCCGACAAATAACACAAATTGAGTAGGGAGAAGAGAAAAGGAAAAGAAAAGGAGAAAAAATAGAGAGGAAGAGGGGGAAATATTGAAGATTTCAGTGAAATTTTGATGAGGTTGGCGGTGGAGAGCAGAGAGAAGAAGGGAAAACATAGAAGATCAGGAAAGAAAGTGAGAACGAAGAGGATTTTATTGTTGACATTCTTTAGCAGCGATGGACAGCCTTTAGCAGCGACACATCGGAGAGAAAACATTCTGGGGTTTCCTACGTTGTTGGATGATCGCTTAAATCGACGGATGAGGTTGAAATGTCGCGGATCGCTAGAACAGGCAATAGTGGCGATGCGCAGCCTTTAGTGGCGACACACCATAGGGAAAACAACGCAGTATTTTCTACATCCTCTTAATCGTTGGATCATCGCTTAAATCGATGGTTAGGGTTGAAATGACGTGGATCGCCAACATAACCCTTTAGCGGCGACACCTTTAGCAACGATGAACACTTTTAGCGGCGACAAAAAATGTGTTTGTTTATTGATGCCGCTAAAAGTGACTGTCGCCGCTAAAGTTGTCGCCACTATTGCCTATTATTCTTGCAGTGTTAGCAATTTTATCTCTTATAGAGACCATGTGGCTGAAAGTTTCAAGAGAGATTTATCAACCTCTATGTTTTGTCCCCCATGCTCCTAAAGACTAGAAATACTTTAGAGTAATTTAATGTAAAGTCCTTACCTTGCATGAGTTATTTAAGAGAGAGACTTTGCATGAACTAAAACTAGTTTTTTTTAATATTCTTTCTTACTTAAAACCTTATTTGCTATTTATCTCTCTCTCTCTCTCTCTCTCTCTCTCTCTCTCTCTCTCTCTTTCTGTGTCTCTCTCTCTCTCTCTCTCTCTCTCTCGAAGTTAGCTTTTGTTATTTAAAGCTCCTTTTGAGTTGTCTCATTTAGTACTTATTTGAGTTAAGTGCTTAAAGGCTTAAAACACTCGACATTACAAGATGGAACCAACATTCCAAGTGTCGTAATATTGATGCTGGATACTTTTAGAGAAAATCATACTCTTTGATTTTTTATCTTCATCAACACCCAAAACCAAGTTGGTTTAAAGGTTCGAAAGGTTGTCATTCTAAAGCACTATTCGTTTGTTTTTTATATCATTCTAACATCTATCAATGTATCCTAGATGTTTTGATTTTTGTTATAAACTTAAAATAAACTTGTTACTTTATAAGACTTTCATTGTAGTTTTTTTTATGAAAATGACACTTATATTTTGTATCAAAACCTATCAAAGTGATATCAGAGTCACCTTTTATATGTTAGAATGATTTTTTATGTTTGATAATCTTTGATTTTTAGAAAACAAGCATAATTTTTTTTTGAGTGAGAAATATCCATATTTATCTTCTTTGACAACTTCTTGGTTAAAACTATTTATTTTTATATATAACCATTTTTCATGCATTTTTGTTATATAAAATTTGCCTTAGAAAAAACAAAGAGTTGTTTGTTGTTATATTTAACATGTGTATCATGTGCATAAACTAGCCATGAACCATTGTGTTTGTTGTTTTGGTTGTTTTGTTAAAAATGGTTGTAATATTTATTTATTTATATGTTACATAATAAATTAAATATATTAGTTTTCTTGGTTTATGTTGGTGATAATAGTGCCACAAAGACATTTTGTGTAATTTGAACTTACATGTGAGCTAATGAGCTTCGTAATTTCTATTATATCATACATACTTATAAAGCTAGTATTTTTTCTTGAATCTCATACATTTGAAACCCCCATAAAAATTTTTCAACACCACATGCATTTGAAACCCCAACACCCTTTCACCTTCAAAGTAATTAATCACATATAATCTCATTTCAAGAAAATCACACACTCTATAAGTTCAACACCTCATGCATTTCAAACCCCCACACCCTTTCCCCTCCATTATATATGTAGTTACATTTGTACATTTTTCTTACAAAAAGTCGTTATTTGGTTGAAGATATTATGATTCAAAAGTTTTCATATAGTTGAAACATTCACGATCCAAATATGATGATTTGAAGAAATGGGTTATGTCGCATTGATGGTAATTGTAATATGATTTTTTCTTTTAACCAAAACAACTGAAGTTTTTCTATTCTTTCTTTATATTAAATTTCTAATTTGACCTTTATATGTGATTTGTATGTATTACTCAATCTTGAATGTGACTCTCCAAACATCAATGTTTTGCTTGGAATACCTATCTAATTCTTCTTTTTCAAGAAAAACATTTTGGTTGCAAGTTAGTGAAGAATTGTCATCAAGTTTTTATGGTTGAATGGTGTTCAATAAAGAAAGAAGATTCAGAAAACGAATATAGGTTTTTTTTGTTTGAGCAAAGTAGACAAATGTTGTTGTTGTTTTTTTTTTTTTTTTTTTTTTTTTTTTTTTTTTTTTTTTTTTTTTAACGTATATTTATGTAACATTTTTATTTATATATTCAACCACCTAATGTTCTTATTTAATTTATTGTAGTTTTTCTATTTTGATTATGTTTATTTTCTATTATTTTGTTGTTGGGTCATCCTACAAAACATATTTATAAGACAATATTTAAAATATAACATAATTTTTAACATTTGATATGCAATTATGATGACTTATCATGATATATTCTTCATATGAAAGTAATTTATCCATATTATTACGACAAGAATTACATATGACATTTACGAAAATATATGTTATATGTGATTTGTTTAACATATATATATATATATATATATATATATATATATATATATATATATATATATATATATATATATATGCACCTATGTATGTTATAAATTTATAATTAAATATCTTTATATTTAATAATGGAAGGGATTAAAATGATGCATCAAAACAAATTATTTAGACGAATATAATAATAATAATAATAATAATAATAATAATAATAATAATAATAAAAATAATAATAACAACAACAATAATAATAATAATAAATACATATTTTCAAGTACTGTATTTATTTCAAACTCACACTACAACTCAAAAGTTTTCTAACTTATATATATTTATTAGTTACAACTCAAGAGTTTTTAACTTATGATTATTAATTAGTAATCGCTAATAACTTTTTATTTTCCTTTCTTTTATAAGGTTGTAAAGTTTTGCTCATTAAAAACATTAAAGTATTTGAAGAGATTTTGTGATTTAAATATGAAAAGTTAATATAAATGTTATAATAAATGTTTAGTGTTTTTATGTTATTAAAAATTGTAGTGTTTATTTTTCATATTTTTTTATTATTCGTTGTATATATATCTTTTTTAATACAAATGTTATAATAGATGTTTTTATATTTTTATGTTACTAAAAGTTGTAGTTTATATTTATGTTCATACATTTTGTTACTCATTATATATAGATTATCATATGTTTGATATATAATTC